GACAGATGCCGGCATCCGCCGGAGGACATTGCAGGGGACACTGCAGGAGGGACATCGGCGGAGCGAAGGACAAGGTAAGTGAAGAAGAGATCCCAAAGCAGTGCTACAAGGTATTCCAGAGTGTAGCCCAGGGTTACCGCTTGTGGTGCTGAAACTTTACCCCGAGCTACACTCAGTAATACCTCCAGGGAGGTTAATGCAAAAGACTTTCATGTAAAAAACCTCCAATCTACATGAGGAGATGAAGAACAGGCAGAGGAGCAGGATCGTCTAGCCCAGCAATGGGCAAACTACGGCGCGGGCCGCCAAATCGGGCCAAATACAATAAAATGTAATATACGGCCCGGCGGACCTTTTAATCCGGCCCGCGGAGCTAGGCTCCCGCAAGGCCAGTGGTCGGCAAGCCGCGGCTCTTTACAAATTTAGATGCGGCTCTCCTGTGTGACGGGCGCCCGCTCCCCTCCCTCCTCTCCCCTCCTCTCCTCTCGGATGCCCCCCTCTCGGATGGCCGCCCCCCTCCCTCCTCTCGGAGACGTCAGGACTCTGCAGCTGTCAGGATGTAGGCGGGGCAGCCAGGATGTAGGCGGGGCAGCGTGACGAACTCCTCTCACAGTCCTTGAAGACCAGAAGCGCGGGAATACGAGAGGAACGCGCAGGGACCAAAGGTAAGTGAATTGACACAGGGGGGGGGACTTACTATATGGGGGACTTACTATATGGGGAATTAATTACTATATGGAGGACTTACATGGGAATGAATTACTATATGGGGGACTTACTATATGGGGAATGAATTACTATATGGAGGACTTACTATATGGGGGATGAATTACTATATGGGGGACTTACATGGGGAATGAATTACTATATGGAGGACTTACTATATGGGGAATGAATTACTATATGGGGGACTTACTATATGGGGAATGAATTACTATATGGAGGACTTACTATATGGGGAATGAATTACTATATGGAGGACTTACTATATGGGGAATGAATTACTATATGGAGGACTTACTATATGGGGGATGAATTACTATATGGGGGATGGATATGGGGGATGAATTAATATGGGGGATGAATTACTATGTGGGGGATGAATTACTATGTGGGGGATGAATTACTATGGGGGATGAATTACTATATGGGGGATGAATTACTAGGGGATGAATTACTATAGGGGGGATGAATTACTATGGGGGACGAATTACTATATGGGGGACGAATTACTATATGGGGGACGAATTACTATATGGGGGGATGAATTACTATGGGGGATGAATTACTATATGGGGGATGAATTACTATATGGGGGATGAATTACTATATGGGGGATTAATTACTAGGGGGATTAATTACTATGCTTACTATGGGGGAATATTACTATACTTACTATGGATGACACATACACATCATTCATCTACTCTTGGTCCGGCCCCCGGGTCCAATATATGAACCCATTGCGGCCCTCAAGTCAAAAGTTTGCCCACCCCTGGTCTAGCCTGTAGAGGTCTGTGCATCCCTCCATGGATATGCCTCCCCAGAACATCACTGACCCACCACCAGAACGGTTATGCTGAACGATGTTACAGGCAGCATAATGTTCTCCACGGCTTCTCCTGACCCTTTCACGTCTGTCACATGTGCTCAGGGTGAACCTGCTCTCATCTGTGAAAAGCACAGGGCACCAGTGGTGGACCTGCTAATTCTGGTGTTCAATGGCAAATGCCAATCGAGCTCTATGGTGCCAGGCAGTAGGCACAGGGCCCACTAGAGGACATTGCCTGTCTCCTGGAATCTCCTCCATGCTCTTGAGACTGTGCTAGGAGACACAGCAAACCATCTGGCAATATGCAATCCTGGAGGAGTTGGACTCCCTGTGCAACCTCTGTAGGGTCCAGGTATCGCCTCATGCTACCAGTAGTGACACTGACCCAGTCAAATGCAAAACAATGAAAAAGAGAAAATATGAGTAGGGAAAAAAATCTCAGTGACCTTCACCTGTAAAACCATTCCTGTTTTGGGGGTCGTCTCATTGCTGCCTATCTAGTGTACCTGTTGTTAATTTCATTAACATCAAAGCAGCTGAAACTGATTAACAACCCCCTCTGCTACTTAACTGACCAGATCAATATCCCAGGAGTTTAGTTGACATGATGCTATACTCTGATTAAAAAGTGTTCCTTTAATTTTTATGAGCAGTGTATATTGAAAAGTGCCTATTGTTTAGAGACAGCTGTAGTACCATTTGTATTCTGAAAAGAAAATAAAATAAACCACTTGATAAAAATAATTTTTTTTTTTTTTTTTTTACTTTGACACCTAAAAACATAAAACCAACGCAAATTCATTTTATTTTTTGTGCAAGTGGTTTGTCCAATCACTACTAGGTGGCGCTGTTTCACTATAACATAAATGGACCAATTGCATAGATGTCCTTAGATGCAAGTGTATCTGTGCTAACTTCAATGGTTACACTTGCTTTGATATAGCACTTATGGAAGTTGTGTCCACTTCATACATCCTTCTTAATTACCCTTCTTGTATCTGTTCTATGAGGTTTTATACAGGCTTATACATATCTAGTTCATAACTGTAACCAAGCATAGATTACAGTCTGAAATAAGTGAGCATACAAGAAGATGAAAGCAGCTGTACGGTTCGTCTGAGAGATGTAAGAGGATTTGTCTTTTGCTTGGCCTTATATTTACAAATGGAGGGAATTTGTAGTTTTAAAGTGAGCCTGCACTTTTCTGCACTAGCTAAAGTGATAAGTTCCATTGACATCAGACACTAGTAGGAGTTCTTAGCACTGATACACTGCCCCCCTATCTACTGCCAGAGCTTATAGAAAATGGGTACCTATGAGTTTGTGGAATCATGTGGGATGCAGGGGTGGACTGACAACTCATGGGGCCCCTGGGCAATAGGGGATCATGGGGCACCCGTGTTCTTGCCCAAACTCAAAAAAGCCTATGAAAAAGGTACCAGGGGCATCTCATGGGGCCCCCTACTAACCCCGGGCCCTCGGGCAGTGCCCGAGTTTCCATATGGTCAGTCCGCCCCTGGTGGGATGGTGGGTAAGGTGTGCAGAGCCTGATGATCAAGGCAAACTAGACAGGAGCCTAGGACCTGGTGGCTGTAAGGGAAGGATTGGGCTGTGGGACAGGGGGAAGAACCACTTCCAGAGGTGCCAGTGCTAGAGACGGGAAGGCCTGGATAAGAAAAAAAGAAAAACTGGGAAATTTGTTTTCTGGTTTTTTTTCTGGACAAATTGGAAAAAAAAAGAAGTGAAGAATATGTTCTTTTACAGTGATAAATAATATATCTATGACATGCTATTCAAACAATATAGCATGAAGACCTTAATGGAAAAATTTCTGAGACTTTACAGTGTGTAAAGTCTTAAATTGTGCCAAGTTCTCTCAGCTGAAGAAAAGCTAATTCTGGAACACAATTCAAGTAACACTGTATTTTTCAATGCAGTTCTCAAACAAGAGACATATATATTTCTGCTACAGGGGGCACTGCAGGGGAAAGGCTCCAGTTTAGTTTGCTTGTGGGCTCCATCTTTTACCTCTTACAGTTGGGTGATACAGTAGATAGTTTCTGTCCTCATTTCAGGCCTTAATTGACAGGTAAGAGGGTCTGACACATGAGTTTATCTTTATAACCTTTAAATGACTCCTATTGATGTTCTCCACCATCCAGGGGCGGACTGACAACTCATGAGGCCCCTGGGCAATAGGGGATCATGGGGCCCCTGTGTCCTTGCCCAAACTCAAAAAAGCCTATGAAAAAGGTACCAGGGGCATCTCATGGGGCCCCCTACTGACCCCAGGCCCTTGGGCAGTGCCCGAGTTTCCAAATGGTCAGTCCGCCCCTGCCACCATCACAGCATAATGTTTCCCTATAGTCTGCTCAGTAAAATGTTTTTATTTACCTCCTCTCAGTAAAATGGTGAGACAGATATCTAGAGTTTGTAAACATTTCCACAGTGCAATTTCTGCTGAGAGCAAAGCTGCAATTTTCAAATGCGGTGAGAAGAAATATTCTTTTCCAAATGCTACAAGGATGACAAAATACATCCCAGCATGCCAGCAGTGCCCTAAAGACATTTAAAAATACTTTATGGACTTAAATAATAAGGACCATAATAAAAGTGCAATTAACTTTTCCCTCTGGGGTTCTCATTCTTTTTGAGGGAAAGGGGGGTGGTTACCTGTTCTCATGTATAGTTGAAAGTTTTTTAACATATACTGTCCTTGTCATTTCATTTGTTATAAAAAATGAGATTTTAAAAAGCACATTTAGTAAAATTACCGAATAAGCTGTACTTTTATTTTAAGCATAATACTTTTTATATACATTGCATTTCATTTTCCCAGTGTAACAAAATGACTTTCAATTTGTAAAACTACTCCACACTGATTTTTTTTTTTAATTTTTCCAAAAACTTCAATCTTTTCTGGAAAAAAAACAGGGGGAAAAAGCTTTTTTCCTATGGCTTCAAAATTCCCCAACATTTTACATCTCCAGGCAGTACGGCTGAAAAAAAAAAAAGATCTGTGTTATACAAGCCAGTTTGTGCACCATACATGAATACAGTAGACACTGAGTGTATTACAGCCTAGGTTTAGTCAATTCTTCTTTAAAAAAAATCAGCACAAAGGACAGTACTTACTATCAATACAAAGTGTCCCTTGTGATGATGGCCTCTGCTTTAGTTGAATTCTCAAAGTTTTACTAAACACATGATCCTGCATTCACTATATCTGGTCTCCCACAGTACACGGAGCATGGAAATGCAATTATTTTAGTAAATATAAACTGCTAAATACCATTTCTCTTCAGCAGTTAGAGCAGTCTTGTGACTTATATCAGTGTCCAGCAGAGCACATGTTAAAGCTTGTAGAAGGAGTTTTCATTCTGCTCTAAGAGGACGCAGAACCCCTTACATCTGTCTGGACAACACTGATTAGCCCTGTGCTGATCACATGCACTCTCCCAAACAAAAAGAAAAAAAACCTCTCTAGCAATACACACCAAACTGAGCATGTGCAGAGTGTTTCCACGCGATATGTCTTCTCAGGAGATAAGGGGGGGACACGGAGAAAAGAGGAGGATCAGAGAAGTCATGATAAAACAGCCTTTTTACACAATGCTGAGGATTAACCCCTTAGATTCCACAGTGAGTATAACAAGCATGCTTTACTGCATATACAGACAAATTTTACTGTTGTGGGTTTAGGAACATTTTAAGTGCTCTGAAATCCTCATACCCCCTCATACCCCTGCAGCAGTAATCTTTTGGTGCTTTTGGGTTTAATAGAGCCAAGGATCCTGTGGCATGCCAACTATGCGCTCCCTTTCTACCTTCCTACTCCATTCATAAAGGTTTTACTATCTCTACCCACAATGAAAAACACTTTTATAAATGGAGGAGGAGAGTCTTTCATTCATCCACTTTCCTACATTCATAAATAGCTTTTCATTCATAGAAGCTTAACAACTTCTATGAATGGAGGAGGGTGGCAGAAAGGACTGGCCTAGTGAGTTAATCGGGAAAATGAATGACCTGAGTTTTTCCTATGGTGAATCCAACCCATTCTGTTCACCTTCTCCAAAGCCCGTGAACTGTTGTATGGCACACAAAGACTGCAAAGGTCCAGTGTCAGGAATAAGGACTGATGTTCCAGCTGCACCCACTATAATCCCTGTAAAAACTGATCAAAGCAAGAAAATTGAGAACCCAAATTACCAATATGCCATAAATAACAAACCACATATGCGTATAAAATGTATTGGCTTCAAGAAAAAAACCCTGCAAAAATGCAAACAACTTTTAATAAAATTTGAGGATTAATTCAAATTCTGCACCTCAAAAAAACACCCTGCTAAAGACCGTAAAGTTACAATTAAGTGCATAGAATTCAACAGTGATGATCATGTACAAACATTTCATCCATTTCATCCTTCTGTGGCAAAGCAAGGCAGGTAGAGCACATGTCAAACAGCTCCGCCTAGTATCTTCTACATGTACTCTACTCTGTGACAAATCCTGTGCCAAAATAAATCTGTGCTCCAAGGGTCAGCCTGAAAGAATTGTAAGAGTATACTATTCTAGACAATCAGAATAACCAATCCCTCAGAAGATCAATGTTTCTTGACTTGGTGAACATAACAGGAGATGTCCTACCTTGGCCCAACTGGAAATTTCAAGTAGGAGAGTCAGTTGTTCCTCTGAACAGCAGAGTAGCAATATCACTGGCCACTCTTACGGTGTGCAACCAGATTCCAACCAACAGAGAGGAGATCCCTACTCCTGCAGCCGCCTATCGCTATCATCACTTAAAATACATAGCCGATAGCAGATATCCTACTGCTACTTGGCAGAGACATTCTAGGGGTGCAAAAGGTTTGCTAACAAATCAACAGGCTATGATGCACCATGTGCCCAATGTCTGTATCTAGGCTGGGTCATTGGAAGCAACACGTGACAGAGTAAAATGAGAAGATCTACATAAATAAATAAATAAACCCACACTCAAAGCAAATCAAATAAAATTCCTTTTCAATAATATTTTGTGCGACTGCTGCCACCATAAATCGTTCATACTACCAACCACATAGAACAAATACATTTCCCCAAAAAGCAGAGTAATAATTGCTAGAAACTTAAACAAACATAAATAAAAAAAACCACCCAGTGAAGATAAAGGAGTTTGAGAATATAAAGTTCATATATCAAATATCATAAAGTATCCATTTATCTTCATCAATAGTGCAAATTGACCGAATAATCTTCCACGTTCCACACCACAGTGCAAAAATGTGGCTTCCACTCTCACAGGTCACCAAAACTCACCGGACAAATGTGCCTCTTATTTTTACTGATTGGCATACAGTGCTTTCAAATGAATCCTATTTATTGGCTCCCCGGATTATCACCTCCTATGATCCTTCTCTCTCAATTCAACTCCCCCATCACACCACCAATCAGCCAGTCCAAGACAAGAGAGTCCATTTCAGAGACGTACCACAGGTTTCTTTCCTGTCTCCCATTTTCCTTGAGGTGATTGTAGCCGTATTAGTGCGCTTGCGACAGAAACAATTGAGTACTGACGTGATACTTTTTTTATTTGCACTAACATACAATTTTGAGGACATGCTTTCAGGGTATGTCCCCTTCTTCAAGGTCCAGTTTATCCAACACTTTTATGACCCCCTCTGTGAGTGTTGTTCCCCCCCCTCCCCCCTCAGTCTTTGCTTTTGCTGTGTCTTATCTCCAGTCTAATCCTAGTCTTTTAACCATTGCTGTGTACATCTATTTTGTGTGTGTGTTTCTTTCTGTTTTTTTTTTTTCCCCCCTTTCAACATCTCTCCTAACATTATGCTAAAACTTTGTAGTAGTACTGCCTGGACCTTGAAGAAGGGGACATTCCCCGAAAGCTTGTCCTCAAAATTGTATGTTAGTGCAAATAATAAAAAAAGTATCACGTCAGTACTCAATTGTTTCCTGTCTCCAAAATTCACACAAGGTGTAACCAACAGCAGTCCCACTTGAAGGGGAAGCCCGGTGTATGTAGTGTGACCCCCTCGTTGAGCCTTGGGAGGACACATTGGGATTATTGTGAGAGGTGATAGGCCTTTCGGGCCACCTGTTTGATGCTGACCCTGCTGCTGTTACTTAAAATTTGCTACCTGTGAAGAGTTGGCCAGCACTGTAAATTGAAAATTTTCATGTTGGATTAAATTTGGATTAAATGTTGGGTTACAAATACTCTTGAGGAGCAAAGTGAGCAATCGAGTGGAAGATCCAGGGTATCAACAAAACCAACGCCGACAGACTATAATCAGATCCACTGACCTGATCCACTGATCCAGGATACCAACGACACCAACGCTGACGGACTATAATCAGATCCACTGACTGTCCAGGTCGGGCCACCTTTATTCTCAGTTAGGACATCTTGTAAGTTTTGCTGTTCTTAATAACAAATGTGTGCCATGACATTTTGGTTACATCTATGTCCTGTTCTCAATGCATTATTTAGTTATATTACTGTGTTGTTGTTGTTGTGCTTGCTTTTTTTTTTTATATTTTAAACCATATGTGTGTCAGTGAAATTGGTTCAGCCAGGATGGGTTATCACTGGGAGAAACAGAAGTACTCATTCAACAAGCAGCTCCTCCGGAAGTAGTGCTGAATACAACAGCATAAAATATATGTATGGAAGGTAAAACTGTACACGCTTGTTGGAACCATTTTATTTCCCAAAGAGCCATTACTGTATTATAATCTATTATGTGCCTGAAATCAATTCTAGTCCCACATAAAATTAACTCAAGTGTTTGATAAACAAACCACTTACATCTTAAAATGAGCATGCACTAAACAATGTGATCGTTCCAGATATCAATTATTTGTATAACAGAAGATATGCCTTTCAGACATAATTTGTGCTAAAAGGCAGGTTCAATTAATAAAATGCTATTTTAATGAAAAATGATTGACTGGTCCTGGAAGAAAAGTGAAATGTGATTATCTAAAGCCAAAACATGTTTTTAAAGCTTATCTCTAGGAAGATCTAAAACACGCCAATTAATGCAGCTTTGTAAACATTAATAAATCTTTAAATGTCCTTTTTAAAAAAAAAAATGCAAGCAGTGTAAGTACCTGGCTTTGACCTAGTATACCTTTTTGGAGTTCCTGTATACCGGAGTGAGCTGCAATGTGAGAGGAAGAAGCAGCACAAGGAGCCAATCAGTTCATGTGCTGCTTCTCCTTTCACTGTCCAATCACAGTCTAGTGGAAAGGTGGAGGACAACCTGGGTTCATAGGAAGTGGGTTGACTGATGCTTACCACCAGACTGAGGACATAAGGATTGAAGGTGAATAATGCAGCAAAAGTTTTTTTTTCTTTTAACCTTTGTGAGCTCTTCATTTTTATCTTGTTATCCTTGTCCAAAATTCTGCTTTAAGTTTTGGATACAGTAGAAAATGGTTGGAATCCATGTTTCTGTTTAACTTGGCAATTCAGAAATTTTGCATATGAATATTTTATATTTTTGTATGTACCTAGCAGGTGGACCTCTGGTCTCCTTTTCATATTTTCCACAGTACCATTTTCTGTTTTGAAAAAAGCCTGTTGTTGACAGAGCTCAATAGCTCAACCTGAAGTTTGCACACAAGTGAAGGAGTCAAATCCATGCCATATGGTTTCATTTCAGTCAGAGTCAGGGCCAAAGATTTTTTTTTTTCCTAGGGATGGGAGTTCAGCCTCAGGCATCTAGAGGAAAATAATTAGGCACTGTGTGTGCCGCAGTATGATTGCACTAACAGAGGGGGGAAAAAGTTGAGCCATTTCACGGTGTACACACTAACATATGGTGCAGTCTTTGAATCCTGAGGAAGTCACATGACCAGCGATGCAATGCGACCAGCATAGCCAGTGACGTCACTTCCAGTTAACGCATAGATCTAGCAAGTAAAAAGTTCTTTTAACTGGTACATACGGGGTTGCGCTGTCAGAGTTTTTCCCTTCTGTTGAGCTATACCTGCAGTGGAGGCAGCAAGGATTGTTTTTAAAGGATCCCAACGCATGAAGTGGCTGCTAATAGCTGAAGGTGGAACCGCATAAATAACCAGCTAGAGCACAAGTGATCTATTATCCTAGGTCAAACATTAACGTGAGCGGGCATTGCATGCATTGGTGGATTGACACCTTGGGCACTGGAGCACTTTGTGGAAGATTTAATGTCTCATGTCACGGAATTAACACGTGTTTATTTTGGCACTCAATATGATCAATAAGGACATTGATCTATTTCCACTTTATCACAAAAAAATGTTTGATGGCTAGATGGCTATTTGAAATTAGTTAAGTGAGGTTTTTATGACATACAGGATTGTTGGTGGTTTTTTTTATTTCTTTGAGAATAACATGCATTTGAACCACATAGGTTGAGTTTTTAATTTAAAGGAACAGTGCACCATAAATGTTTTGTGACTCCTATCACAGATACACAACACATTTAATATTCGTTTGTAGTATTTATTTCATTCACGGTGTGTATATATATATATATATATATATATATATATATATACTGCATGCTGAAATACATTTTTTATATAATAAAAAAATATATGAAAAATATGTTTAAGAATATATTAGCGGGAACACACATATAGAAGTGCATGAGTTCACGTAT